GGAGGGAGGAAGAGAGGAAGGGAGGGAGGGAAGGAGGGAGGAAGGAAGGAAGGAAGGGAGGAAGGAAGGAAGGGAGGGAGGGAGGGAGGGAGGAAAGAAGGAAGGAAGGAAGGAAGGAACGAACGAACGAACGAACGAACGAAGGAAGACAGAAAAATATAAATAAAGGGACAAACAAATATAATAATAGACAGCTTCACAGACACACGGATGGATAGAAAGCCTACATAAGTAATGTACGAGTATAAAGTATTTTCCCTGCCTATCACAACTAAACAATCAAAGCTGAGGCTACTGACATCACTGATACTGTTTTCACAAGGTACAACAAACTTTAGTTGTTATTTACAAAGCATGTAGGCTTTTATGAGCAATATTCTAGACATTAAAGATATATTCATGAAAAGCTTATAGTCAAAGAAGCAGTTTCTCCTTTTCTGCAATGAGACACCATTCCCTTTGAAAAGACACAGTATTGATCATAAAGGATCTCCGGTATATACCAGCCAGACTGGGCTAAAGGCAGGATCTGTTTAATCCGGACACAAGTTACTATCTGATGATTTTAAAAAGGATAAGGTACTCAAATGTGAATCCAAAAACAGTATATCGACAGCACTGAGTAAGACCACGCCACATGCCATTTTGAAAAGTGACGTATGACAAACTTACACTATGCAGTTGGTATGTGCAGAATACTGGAAGAAAAGCTGCATATCATCACTAACTGCGCTAGCAAAATGGCATAACTCAGAATTGTGCCAACATGTAACTAGCCTTTTATTTTGTTTGGTGGTTCCATACCAATCTTTTAGTAAAATCAAAACAAAAATGCGCTGACAGTCACAAAAGAAACATACAAGGCAAGTTTTACCAGCATTAGATGATAAACAGTCTAAATAAACAGGTTTTTTTCACTTATCTTAAAAGCAGTGAAAATGAGATGTGTCATTTCGCCAGCGCAATGACGATGTTCAAAATACAATGTAATTACAGTTTTTTAGCTACCAAACATCTCCTAAATTAAATAAAATAAATGTCCCCTTTTTGTGTGAAAGCTTCAAGATACACAAAGCATGTGTCAACTGACATATTAAAAAAATGTTGCTTCAAACACAGAGAGTGAGAAATTAAAACAGCCTTACTGTGACACAGTGCAAGTGGAAGTTTTTCACAGCAATGCCAAGGGAGTCAATGAAGGCTGTGCGCACTGGGATCAAACAGCCCTCTATTCCTGCTCGAGCCAATGGTAAAAGTTCATCAATAGCCTGGATGAAATCATGAGTATCCTGAAAAGAAAAAGAAAATAATGTTAAAAAACACATTCTTATATCTTAACACATCAATAAAAACAATAGGGTACAGTTATGGCTTTGCTACTGCAGAGACACTGTCAGGTATCTTATACAAATGTAAATTAAACAGACTCTATGAATAAAAAAAAAAACAGCAGCTAAAAATGATGAGAATGGAACTTGGTTACATCAGGACAAACCATCCAATGACTGTTTGCGTGTGTGCATCTGAGTATGTAAGTGTTTGTGTGTGCATGTGTGGTGTGTGTGTGAGAGTGAGAGATAGAGAGAGATAGATAGAGAGAGAGATTCAAGATTCAAAATGATTTATTGATTTGAAAGGCCTTTGGCCCATACATCCACATATTTTAACATATGGTTCGGCAATTACATACATTGGTGCAGCACATTGGATGTTTAACATAAATTGGACATGCACGCCCACATACACGTATGCACGCACGCACGCACGCACGCACGCACGCACACACACACGCACACACGCACGTGACGCACGCACATACACTCATACACACTCCTGCTCACACACATACTTACATACATACGTACATTCGTACATACGTACATACGTACATACATACATACATACATACATACATACATACATACATACATACATACATACCATTGTCTTTTTCATACACATATACATATAAAATAGTACCCATTACAGTAGATACAGAGTTACATATGCGAGTGAATACCTTTTCCCTAGGACAGACGTGTCCGTATAACAACATAATTTAGGAATGAGATTATCTTTTTAGAATGGACTTCATCTGAACAGACTAATATGCCATTGAGCTTAGACATTGGCTCTTCGGGAGTCTGAAGTCTGACGCACTCTGGTAAAAGCTGCTCTCGTATTTCATTATATCGTGAACATCTGAACAATACATGGAATTCATTTTCTACATACTTTTCATCACACTGGAGGCAACGATTACTGTCGACAATGCCCAACCGGAACAGATTATTTTTCAACGACAAACTGAAAGTTCTGAGTAATGCAAGGATCCTTCTACCTCTTGCAGAGATGGTGAATGAGAGGTACGGTGCAGGGCTTAACGTAGGGTGGAAGTCCAGGTACTCAGGATAAACGCCAGACACCCTAGAACGCCAGTCCTGGTGACTAATATTTATAAGTCTTTCCTTTACTTGAGATAGGAAAATATTCTTATCACCAACATTTTGAAAAAACCACGCATATAGAGAGAGAGAGAGAGAGAGAGAGAGAGAGAGAGGGGGGGAGAGAGAGAGAGAGAGAGAGAGAGAGAGAGAGAGAGAGAGAGAGAGAGAGTGCGTATGTATTTACCACGCCACAACAAACTTTTCTGTTGTGGAGATAAATAAATTGTTATCTTATCTTGTCTTACCGGTAGCTAATCTTACCCCGGAAACACAAATAAATGACTGAATAAATCATTAAAACAGAGCAATGCCGACAACAGTTAAATCCCAAACCTTTGAAACGACACGTGGGTGGTCCATTCCCTCCCCATACTGAGCAAAGTCAAGTGTAACCGTGTCCAGCAAATGTTTCCCATGCCAGGTGGAGGTCTCATGGGTCAGAGTGGTGGACATGGTGTGATCAATCTTGGCCTCAACAGCTGATGCAAGGCCAGAGGCAATCTTCTTGAAGATAAGCCGCCAGTCCCACTTCACTTTATCCTCCGACCTGCTTCTTTCAATCACTGCAAAACAAGACAAAACATTTAATTTAAAAACAATGGGTCCTGCATAGTACCTTGATGAAAATACAGTTGAAATTGTCTAGATGACCACCCATTGTCAAGGAGAACAGAGGCCATGTTATGTAGGTGGCCCTCTTACATGGTATCATGTTAATGTTTTAAAAAATGCAAGGGAGGAAATGGGAATAGGCAGTTTATACAGGTAATCGTCTTATAAAGGTAGCCGTTAGAGCACATTCAACTGTAGCACAAGGGAGGCCCTCTTTCTTTCCTATGCAACTTTTCTTATACCTCATAAGTCTTGCTTTTTCTTCCACCACCAAATGAACATAACTGTGTAGGAGACCACTTCTGTCCCTCACACAATCCTCTGCTCCTCAGAACTAGGATGCCAGCAAATCTGTAGCTGGATCTAGGTAGTTTGAACAGTTTTTAATGACTTGTAACTTAATCTATCTTGAAAGATGTAAACTTAAAAGGTTCCACTTCCTATCAAACCTGCATTGGCATTTGGAAAAATGGGGGTGGGGGGGAAGAACCCTCTATTCCAGACAAACACACAGCGACAATGGGTTCTAGAATACCTTTTGGGGCTGGTGTGTGTTCAAACGGAGGCGTAGTCTGTCCAGTCGGGTGTGCCAGGTCATAGGGCGTGTCACTGCTGCTGAAACTACTGCCCAGATTGAGAGAGTGTCTCTTCAATTCAGGACTGGCACTAGTTTTCAACACACCTGGAAGAAATTCAGTTGAGTTGTCAGATAAGCACTACTTAACAAACATGCTAAGATTTGAAGGTTGTTCTTTGAACAGCCATCTATAAAATGACACACAAAGACCAGACAAAATATATGATAGTAATGACAGTTTATACATTATTTTCACTTTCAAAATGGACACCTTTTCAGTTATTATTTCTTTATCTCCTTGTGCTCCCAGTGACTGGGGTCGGAACCGCTGTGCCGATGAGCCGCTGGCAGCACTTTGGGTGCATTCCTTTACAATGACTTTAACATCAAATCTCTTTTCGAAAACTGGTTTCTTTTGCCAGGAGTTCATTTATTAGATGAAAAACTATCCAAATTATAGGTTCATTTGTTTTGATTTAATGACCAAGTTCTGAATGACGTGTGGGTCACTTCTAGATTTCGTACCAAAACAGGGCCCCGGCACAGTTACCCTCCCTTGAAGTTAAAGAGTTAAGGATGTTATTTCCTGACAGGTATCAGGTACGTCAATTTCAAAGCATTTTTACAGTTTGTTTGGGAAACAAATGACTAAATCAAGCAACTAATACAGTCAGTCTCAAGAATATATCAGACTGGCATCAAAGGTATAGCAGTTAGGTGCTTCACCATCGCACATAGGAGACCAGAGTTTGATTCTCGAGAGGGGGGGAGAACTTTTATTCAGTATCTCAGTCTTTCTACTGGGATGTTGTATCCCTCTCAGCTTGATTTGGCCCTGACATTCACGGTCAAACCCGCCTCCTAAATTATCTAAATTGTGTCGATGGGAGTGTAAAAACATCTACATTAAGAATTTCACATCAGCTTATCTTCATGAAAATTTTATTTCCCTTAGAATATTCTTCAGAATTATATTGTATAAGACTTTATGTAAACTCCTGAACCCTTTAATGTAACAATTGGAAGTGTCTACCAAAAAAAAATGGACTTTTTAAAAAGAATTCTCCAACAAAAATACCACAAAGACAAATAGACCCATGAAACTAAACAAGGTACAAACTTAATTTTTCAGAAAATATTTACTTGAAAATACTCTTTTTTATTTCTTATAGCGGGTTGAAAAGGAAAAAAAAGGACTGACAAATGCAATGACCCATAAAAAAATAATTTCCTGCACAAAAATCTGCTTTCAAGAATGAATCAAAAACAAGACAGAAAATTCACCTCTGAGGCTGGATTTTTTCTTGGACTTCCTGTTCGGCAAACCAGTGACATCCCATGAGGTCATTTTAGTCAGCCCGTCTAGGAAATCTTCTAACTTCATCAAAGACATTGCGATGTGTCTCAGGGAGGATATACAGTCCTTGGGGAACGCCATGCTGGACTGCTTTTGCAGCCTGGGAGTACCGGACTTGTCCTTGTCAGTTCTGAAGCTTGAGGCTAGGAACATTGTGTCCAGACTCTGGGAGTTGAGAGGGGTTTTGCTGGCCCATGAGTCTGTGGCTGTGTTGGCATCCAGTGGGAAGTTGGGAAGAGCAAAAAGACAGGAAATAAAATAATAATAATGATAATAATAATAAATTGCATTTATTTTGCCCATTTACATCTTGACGAGATGCTCAATGTGCATGACAATAAAATAGGTAAGGTAGACACATGCACAACTAGAAAACACAAAGTCAAACGTAACAAAAGCAAACACTCACTTTCAAAATTGCTTTAAACTACACAAAAGTGTGGAACAGAATTTCATGTAATCTTCAAAATAGACATTAAACAGTTACATGTAAACATGGAAAGTAACATACAATGGACTTTATCAAGAGACACAACATGAAAGTTCTTTAAATTCAATATTTTTGTATTCGTAACCATAGACTGCCTTCAGTGTAAACATATACCGTACTCTTTTCAAGATCAAGCAATGTTAACAAGGTGCTCCTTCCACAGGATGATGACAAATACAAACCTCCTAAGCTGCCCCTAGGTCCAGACTTGCTGTGGCCTTTCCCAGAACCTGTGTCAGTCTTTGAAAGGCCATGGTCACTCTTGGAAGCTTTCACCACTTTCTTGTTGAAGTCACGAATGTCATCTGCTATCTCTTCTACTAACAGTGACATTTCATCAGAGTATTTTTCCAAATACAGGTCATGAAGAATGCGATAAACACCTGAAATACGATGAAAACAAGTTTTGAGAATTATATTTTTAATGATAAATAGCATTTATGCTGTGCTCTTCCAGTTTTCAAAAAGTGCTCATTGCACCTTACATTCAAAGAGATATCACATTTCAAAACTACTTGAGGTGTATTGGAAGAACATATTTTCTTGTACATACACATAAATATCCAAATTTCTATGAAAAATTTTGTTACACAGTGAGCCTAGCGAAGATCAAAATAGCTATATTTTATACATAGTTATTGTATTGATCAACAATAACCATAAGCAACAAAGCATTGGAAAGCCAAAAAGACAAAAATGTCAGGCATTTCTTTCATGGTGAGTTTGTTGACATGGAGACTTCTATGTACTCCACTATAATCTATACCAGAGTTTTCAGAATTCACATTCTTGTCGAAGCTTTCTTGCATACAGTTGGCTCTGTTCTGACAGAAATCTGACAACCTTCTTCCTTCAGAAATCAAATACACATAGGCTAAATATCTTGAAACGTTGAAAGAAGAGTTCAAAATTCTATGACTAGATCATTCAAACAACTCTCTGAGTACATAACTAAGAGTAAAATGGTCAAAACAGTTGAAAATGAGAGTTTATTCCACTAGAAGAATTAAATGAAACCAAGAGCAAACCTCCTATTTTCTTGAAAACTCCAGTGCACAAAACAGTGAAGTCTTCCTCAATCATGTCAATGAGTCTATCGGCCACAGTGCCACAATTGCAACAAAACTCTTTGTAATTAACGTTCTCCGAGTCGTTATCTGGCAGGAGGGAGTTGAAAAGCTGCTCCAGCTGCTGGCCCCTCACATTCCGGTACATGACCCAGGCCTCATCATCACTGGCTAGTGACCTCAGGCCACCCACTAGTTCAGACCGCCGTTCGATGATGGCCCATGCAGTTCGTCGATTTTTGGACAACTGGGGGAGCTTGAGCAGCTCAGACACCAGATGTTTCTGTACAGCATGAGACAGTTTGCTCCACTTGCCTTCTATCAGCTAAGAGGGAGGGGTAGAAGATAACGTTCATGTCTTACTGTGACTGGCTCTATAATTCTTTCAACATCATTCTGTGGTTAAAAATTCTTGACTGTACAAGTGTCTGAAGATGTCAGGCTCTCATCGTTCTTGGGCAGATCCATTTACATAATTCTAAGCAGAACTAGTCAATAAAAGCAACAACAGCTTGGTCATGGTATTCCATGAAACCAGAAAAGTACAAAATAGACAAGTCTTTCTTTTCTCACTCAGATTGCATCTCAATAATAAGTCATTAACAATATTCAATGATGATACGCCTTATACATTGGACCTTCTCAGCAAATTCCATCCCCCCCACTTCACTCTGCACAGAGTCAAGAACAAACCCTGGTAACCATCAAATCTTACGTGAAGCAACTACTGAAAACTCATACTCTTTAACACCACCACTAGTCAAATGGTCTCATGATCAGAAGGCGAATGGCTAAAAAAGAATATTAACTAATGTCACTGCCAGCAGCATTTAAGCAAGTAGCCACTCTGATGTGCCCTAAAACAAGACACAAGGGCCCTACACAGAGGGCATAAAACCCCAATGAACGGCAATGATGTGCTCATGTTCAAAATGGTTTGTTGCATACAAATGCAATCTTTTGTACATGTGGTTGTGTTACTGCTCTAACAAAAACAAATGTTCCAAATGTAATAAGTAATTGTTTCCTCCCCTCTTTCCTTTTGTTTCAACATATTCAGTGTACAAATACAGAAACTTTACCTCAGAAAAGACACTGCTAAGCAATCCACATTGTCTAGTTTTTTCTGCAAAGTCTTCCATTCCGAAGTATTTGATTCAATTTTTTTAAAGAAACAATTATATAAGCTTTCCAAAGTCGACAATCTATGTACCTGGTCCATAGAATCCAGCTGCACATTGAGAGAGCTAGAGGACTGCGAGATTCCTGCCAGGGAATTCTTCAAGGGGAGAGTGAGACCCTCTTCTGAAGCAAGGGCCAATATTTCCTGCAGTATTGACTCTTCACTCCCGGGATTTTTCTCCAGTGAATCAATCTGTCAGGTACATAAATAAAAAAAGAAATATTTGGTTCATGTGACAGCTACAGTATAACACGGATAGCTCAAATTCGTCGGGACCAGCCTTGGTAGTTCCAGAGGTTCGTAGTTCGAGGGATATCTTACAAAAATAAAGAAGAAAAAAAAAAACGGAACAGCAGGCACAGTTCAACAGAAGCGTGATTACAAGCTTTCTGTGTTCGACCTATCCGTGTTATACTGTATATTCTTTCATTCTTTCATAAGTAAGCTGGGTTTTTTTTAGACAAAAGAATACGCACAAATTACCCCTCTGTTAAACACAGAAATGTTGCAACACAAGTTCAAAACAACACTTTCAGTCTTGAGAAAAAAGAACAGAATTTGGGTCAGATATGGTAAGTGTTTTACGGCGCTCGCAACTGCATATAAGGTCATATGAGTGCTCAGGACACATTAAACTTTTTCAGTTGGCAAGAAATTTTGAATTTTGCCCGGGTGGCGGTCGAAACTTACTCTTATCGATTTTAGACCACCAAGGGATCTTTAATGTGCGCAACTTGCGCACGGGCCCTCCGAGACTTTTCGCCCTTGTCCGAGAAGGCTAGGTCAGATGTGACACATCAGTGTAAAGAATGTATTTGGAAAGTAGCGATTGCAAAAAAAAATAGAGATGGTATAATTACTCTTCTTATTTTTTTAGTTTTAGTAGAGGTTTAACAGCACTCGCAACTGCATAAGGTCATATGGTAATTACTCTAACTGGTACAAGTCATCAACCTATCCCCTATTTTGTCACAGAAAGCTTAGTTGAAAATGTGCACATGTCAGCATTTTCATCCCAAAAACAAGTTTTCCAGCTGGAAGTATATTACCCACCAAAATGTACACATTTGATTCATGAGGAATCAGTTGTAGTACAGACAAGCAGATATTTATTATAAATGAGGAAAACGGGAAAATAATAGATACAGTCGAACCTGCCATGTCGACCACCTCTATAAGACGGCCACCTGTACAAACGGCCACTTTCCATTCCCCCCCTTGCGTTTTTGCTATATAATTTAACTGTGTAAAACGGGCACCTGTCCAACGAGGCCGCGGCCACCATATTTTAACACACAACCCCTATCACACTAAGCAATAACACCTGTCTTAGATGGCCACCTTAGTGACTCCATTATGTTTTGTCATAAATTGTGCATTGACCCCTGGCGTTGTGGGCGAGCCGTCATAATCTAATCACCTGTCGTTGTTGTTAAGTAGTCCCTCCAACCGATCATGTTGCATAGGCCCCTCCCACTGTTGACCAATAGGTACCAATTTCCAGCTGCTAGTGAGGGAAGCGTGTGATCCCTCATAACCCATAGCCCCACCCATAATTCATACGCAAATCGTAAGTGAGACGAGTGGTCATTGTTTACCCAGTCTGTAGCAAAGCAACAATGGACGTCAACATGAACTTGTGACAGGAGCATCGCTTGTTCTTCGAGTGGTGGCGACCCATGTATTAGTTTTACTATAGCACTTGGTCCTCCCTGTCTGACACATTTCGTTTTATTGTCACCCTTGCACAAAATCAGCCACAAAGTAAAAATAACAAACAAAATACAAACCAACAACAACAACAAAAACAACACCAATGCGGCTACTTTCGATTGGGAAAGGGGTTTGTTTTCTTCATCTTGATCAGTCCTGCCTATGACGGCCACCTGTCTTATACGGCCACTTTTCTCCTTGACAATGGTTGGCTGTCTTACACAGGTTTGACTGTATATAAGAAACTACAAATCATTTTTTTTTTCACTTTCTTGGCCTCTACTAGGAAAATCGGACAGGAATGTCTCCAAAATCAGTCTTGCAATTCAGTATAACCATGTGCAAATAGGCACAGCTATTTTCCTGATAATTCCTTAACCCGTTCATTGTTTATGAAGTACCTGGTATGTCAAGAAAATGCATAATTTTTAGCTTTATGCGCACCATAGACGTCACATAAGTTGGCAGAATTTGCCCTTCCTGGCTGCATATAAGACGTTACATGTACATCCCTTCTAGCTCTAATTCTTCTATAAAAGGAATTTGGCAACAAACACAGCATGGATTCATATTTGCATAATTCGAATAAAAAATGTGCATATTAGTAATAAATTCGCTCGTATTACTTTACTGCTTGGCTTGCAAGTGATGGAGAACTTGTCCCCTTAGATTTCCAGGTTCTTCTAAATTATGGGGATATTGGAGAATATGGGAATGAGGAAAGAGACACTATCAAAGACCCTGGGTCCAAATATGTCACAAGTGGGCCAGAACCAGACAGCGGGTCCACTGACAATGAGAGTGATGAGACTGTTGTTCTGGCTAATGAGCCTAGCTGAAAATCAATTCTGACCCCTGGCAACAAAGGGGTTCAACATTAAATTTTTTACCAACAGTTTTTGTGTCACTACCATGAAGAGTGAATTGTGAGTTTGCAAATTTTAACCTCCAGTCACTTCTCCCCATACCTACTTCTCTCCTGCTCTCCTTATCTACAGTTGTGACACCTAATGATGTTCAAGTTCACAACACTTACCAATGCCACAATTATAGCAACTGCCTCCTCTGACTCAGGATCATAGCATGTGTCTTTCTCTAGTGTGTGGCTACTACAGACATAGCCTAAAGCATCCCTTGGAATTGAGAAAGTTCTTGAGCCTGGTAAATTGTTAGCTGATGTCAATATTGATTGCAAGCATTTGTCCAATCTGAAAAGGAAAGAACATTTTTTTTTTTGCATTACTACACTGTGTCGCAATCACAATTGAATGAAAGCATTTACCTCTATACATGTAACTTTTAAGAGACAGAGCTTCAAAGTGTTCAGATACAACCAAGGTGTCGCCTGGTTTCTGAGTTAATATTAGTGAAAAAATGACCTCCAACGTTTGTTGACTTACCATAGCTTGAGAGTCCCTAGAAACTGAAAATGTACATATTTGTGCATTTAATCAACATTTTTCAGTAAAACAGTCAGAAATGTGTTTTTAAAAGGACATAACAGCTGTCGAGCCAGAAAACAACAATTCAATAAAAATTGCCAAACCAGAAGAAAAATGCCAGAATCTCCTATTCATTATTTTGATGAGAGTCTGAATTCACCACTATGACCCACATATTAATTTCTCTGTATTTACATACAAGATACAAGTCATGATACTCTGTTGCTGCTTATAGATCAACTGGAAACAGAGCAATTTGGAAACAAGGTCCAACATCTTCCTAGATAAGGAAAGATGTCCCAAAAACCAAAGTTTCATGGATCCTTTATAATACCATTTCCATATATGTCTGTGTGTGGGTGAGGAGGAAGTGAATATACAGTCGAACCTGCCTTAACGGAAACCTGTGTAAAACGGAAACCTGTCTTTACGGAATCTCCCTGCTCCCCCCTTGATATATTCCTCTTTAATTACCTGTATAAAACGGAAACCTGTCCAACGCGGAAACGGAAAGAAAAATCCGCTCCCTTCCAAGGGTTTCACCTGTCTAAGACAGAAAATGCTTTGCCCGCTCAGCCCTGATTTGAAACAAAACTCGCAAGTTTGATTCCGCCTGCTCTAAACTTAACGCCATGGCCATGCCGCTGGGTGAGGAAGGGGAGTAGGGGTGCAATGGTGGTAGAGTAGAAGTTACCCTATGTTACCCCATCATGTGAGCACTGAGCGCTACAGATGGTCAGTGTAGTGTGGGTGTGATATCTCACGACTGCCCATGAGAGTGCTCGAGTAGCCAGCCACTACGGAAACTTTCCTGGGTAGCCAGAAGCCAGAGGTGTGAAATAAGATTGACCAATACCTGCCGCCCTGATCGTACGGCCTGCGGAGAAAAGAGTTCCTCGAATCGTTGTTACAATGATGGCAGTGAGGGGTGGCATTGGTGGGTGGGACTAAGGGGGGAAGCAAAGGAGATGTTCAAATGTTTCTGTTTTTAATAGGTCAAACAGTGGTCCTATGAAAGGCAAGCATGGGTGGTAATTGGATAAGTAAGACTGACGCATGTCACTATCAGACAGGACAGCAGCTGAGAGGTGTGAAGTTTTGACCACTGCTTGCCGATCGGACAAGCGATCCTTGATCCCACCGGCTGGGCCTTTGAACCCCCCCCCCCCCTAAATTCCCCTGTCTAAGACGGAAAATGTCTAAGATGGAATTTTTTTCCCGCTCCCTTGCGATTCCGTCTTGCACAGGTTCGACTGTATATGTGCGTGCTTTTAATTTCATAGCATGATCTAAAAAATTTTTAGAAGAAGAAGATTGTAAAGAAAGCAAGGGTGACTTATTTTCAACATTCCTCAAAATGATACAAAGTAGTCTAATCAAAACTAGCACAAATCAAAATAACAAAACATGACTCATAATCAAAGGCCATATCGGAGAATCACTAAAATGAGAATTCATACTCCATGAAATATGTCAATTCATACTTACTCTCTTGTATTTTGATCTAGTTGTCCATCTATGTCAGCAATGAGGCTCTGCAAGGCAGATGGGCTGGGCACCATGTCTCCTTGGAACAAGGATGCGAATGGTGGTATGTAGCCAGCAGTTGGGTTGTTGTTGTCAGAATGAGACATGGTTGCTTTTATTCAACTCCTTTTTAACCTTTAATTACCTGAGGAAAAAAAAAACTTGTTGATTGATAGACTCATATGCCAGTACATCAAGCAAGGGTCATACAGTCCCTTATGACTCAGCTTCAACAGAAGGCAGCGAGAGTACACATTCCCTTTCATCAGCGCTAACAGAAAAGCTGTTGATTTTACTACTCTGCATTCTGCTGCCAGAAGACAGTTCAGTTCAATTGTTGTCACAGTTGTGCTTACTTTTTTGCTTCCTACCCCTAACTTTAAGTTTTATTATAGTAAGTGGTACTAAAATAGGCTAATGATCTTCTCAGTGAGCTGCACATTCCTTGTCTATCACAACAGAACTATAGTCTGGACAACATTAAATGGACAACTTGTAGTCATCATTACACAGAATCAAAGTGGCAAATTCCTCTGAATTTTTGCAGGCGCCTCTGAATTCTAAAAGACTTTTAAAAAGTGCATATAATCATTAGTTTGCAGGGGCTTAGCCAGAAGTTTCAGGGGGGGGGGGGGGATACAGTTTGGTCAAACCCAAAACCGGGGTCCACAGAGTACTTAATTTGAAGCGTTAATAGGCATTTCACAGAGCACTTTAGTCTTCAGTGAATAGCCCAGGCCAGAGGTCTGTTTAGTTTAATCTAGTTAAATTATTAGTCACTAAATAGTTTTAAATAGTCTTAGTCTGGAAAAAAAAGACCACCATAGCCACAAGAAAGACAACCGGTCATTTCGTCACACGGTCATTTCGTCACTCCCCAATTATGTGTGACAAAACGACTTCACTTATATATCTCTCCAAAATCGTATGCTAGTAGAGTTTTAAAGGATCAGCCTTTACTAAGCTTTTCTGAAGTTATATAAATTATTAATGTAATTTAAATCTTCGTAACTAAACTGTTCCATAGATGAACTGGGTCTAGCTTAAATTAGCAAAATTGCAGTACCGTACATTTCTATTACAGTGGAGTCCACTTATAACGAGTCCGGAAAAAACGAGAAGTCGGTTATAAAGACACTGTCCTAAAACCCTGTTTTTTTCTCCTCTTTACCTTTGTAAATAAAATACTGCTATAGCACTATCAGACAAACATGCGAGTCGGTTATAGCGGAATATTGCTGTTGCTGTGCACAGTGCATAGGCCAATTATACTACATGCAAAACCTCGCCAGTTGAGAAACTTGTTGGTAGGGCTGGATTCTGCTCGGTTAATCGAAGGCTTGCAAAGCAGCGGGCGGCTTGCGCTAGGGGATTGCGAGCAGGCTTGTGATTTAATTTGCCTCCCGCTTGCTACCAAAGGGAACTTCCGGTGAGTTGTGACTCGCGGACAGTCCTGCTGTACTGTGTCGTGACCTCGCGAACTCTTGTGGCTGTGGGCTCAGTACATATTTCAGAAGATTCTCTAGTTATTTGCGTTGAGACTTGCACCAAAAGTGCAAGATCGGTTGTTTTTTTCATAGTTCGGTTGTAAAAAACAAAAAGCTCTATTCAATGCACTTAAAAATTAATATTGGATCGGCTATTCTTACGATGTTAAGGCCTATTTATTTTTAATGTGCACGAGCCAAGCGCTTCATCGTCGCACGCAAAAGACCTCAGTTCGATTCCCGTATGGGGAGAAATTTTTACTGAGAACCTCCGTCTTTCTGTTGGGGCGTTGTTCTCTCTCAGCCCAGGTTGGCCCTGACATTGGGTTGAAGTAGGCCTAGCCCGTCTCCTAAATGTTCTGTATTATGTCACTGTGAGTGCAACACATCTACAAAATAGGTTACATACATACGATACAAAAGCCAATCACAACGACCCCTGGAGTTTTCCATTTTGGGGTAATCTAAGTCAATTTATTCTTATTACTACCAGAAGCCTAGGTCTCTATTACTACAATACCACGGTCCCTCTCAGTTATCCATTCGCTAAGCTGATCAACGGCGGGAAGTTAAAAATAACTTTAGCTCTCTACGCCTTGCACCAAAACAAGCCCAGCCTCTCCCTTCCTCCCCGGTATTTGAGGCTTGAGAACTGTCCGCTGCTTTGCGCAGGCCTTCGATTAATCGAGTAAACAACAGCGCCACGTCGCGCAGTGACTCTGTGGGCGGAATCTCTCACTCTCCCCCTCTCTCTTTTTCTGACGTAAGTGGCTTCGCGGATTGCAAGCAGGGTGGGGATGATGAGGGGGGCTGGCACGAGTGGCTTCGCGGATTACTAGTTGCTGTGGACTTGTAGTTTAGACTAGAACAAGGAGGTTACAGTTTGCGCTAGACTCAACTTATCATGCTGATGATTTGATTTGATGATTTGACCTAGTGACTCGAAATAGGGGCTTGCGAGCACGAGCGGGTTTGCTACCGGGGTACAGCCCTACTTGTTGGTGATCTAGCGAAACAAAGAATAGGAGAGCCCATGTGCGTCAACAATGAAGGCCGGAGCGACTGAGTAGGGAGGGTGTGGCATGCGCAGGCGCAGACAAGCAGAACGCACCGCGTGATAAGCCAGCATAAGCCTTGTTTAGATTATCGAGGCCTACCATGCCTCTCACTTCTCCAATGCGGGGATGGAGAGGTCACAGCAATGTGATGGATGGAGCGAATGTGTGACGTGCATGAGCAGACGGAATGCACCAAAGGGTGGGGTGGGGGGAAAACACAGAGAGCGAGTTAACTCAGAGCCCTTTCTTTCTGATTTCTGATCGCCAAAGCCGAGCTGCCAGTCCACATCGCTAGATCTAGCGCTAGAGAAATAAACCTGATTTGAATTTTGATCAAGTAAGACTAGAAGTCATGTTGAAACAAAATCATCATCAGGGGAGATAGCAAAAGGAAATAAACAGAACACCAAACTCATAGATTAGGCCTACTTTACAGTTTTCCTTGAATTTGTTACTGAATGGCGAGAATCCTGCTAAAACGGACATTTTGCTCCGGTCCCCACCCTCTCGTTATAACAGGATTCCACTGAAGCTAATTTAATTTATTTTTAACAGAACTAATATGATCTTGCCAATCACACCTTTCATCAGTTGATCTGACTTGATAGATTTCAATATTACAATAGGCCTAAATATTATTAAAGAACGGTGTAGCTGATCAGGTAGGCACGACGACTCACCCCCCCCCCCTCTCCTCCCCTTCAGCACACACCCCCAACTCTCCCCCAAAAATCATAATTTGCGATTGCCATGACAATGCGCATTTGATGTTCGCAAGTGTGCTACGAAATGACCGTCTCCATTCAACCTTGTGGATATCGGGTGTGACGAGATGACTGACGTCTTGACTGCACCGGTGTGACGAAATGACCGTGTGAGGAAATGACTGGTATTCGAAAGGGGAGGACTTCCGTAACGAGCAAACACTATGAGATAGAGTAGAATAGAGGGCAAGGGGAAGGGGTAGGATTAGGGGTAAGGTTTGGGTTAGGGTTAGGTCTCTTCTTTATTGTGTTTGTTGGGGTGGTTGCTCGTTACAGAAGTCCTTCCCAAGATAAGAAAGAGCTCGAACTCAACAAAACAAGGCCAAGGCCAATGATGACCTGACCGTATCTTTCAGATCATCAACCAGCCAGATCCATTATCATCCATACTACTTACACTCCTACTGCTTGTAACAACAGTCTTCACGTCTTAGACTACCACTAGAATCTATACTACTGAATACCTCGATAGTCCATGAGTAGGCCTATCTAACATAGCCTAGCCTAGTGACAGTGATACTGAAAATAGAATCTAGTCTGCTGATGAGCAGCGAGTCAGTAAAGAGTGAGGGACTTGCATTTCTAACTCATAAGAAAGAGAGGGCAAGACACGGCCTTACCCTGTCATACACTTGCACGCCTGTATAGATAAGGGTTTAGGTTCATTCATTTCGACGAAAAAGCAATAAACCCAAATGTGTACCAGTGTTGAGATGAAGCAGATCGGTAGCTCGGAAACAGTGCCATTATTTTGTTTGGATACATTTTGTCATTGTTACTTCCCTTGGAAAATACAAATTCAGAAAGGGACCTGTAGTATATAACGAAACAAAGAGATGTAGCCTAATAACTTATTTTCTCTCCGTTCCTCAAACATGACGAGATTCTATTGAGAGTTGAGAGTTCTTTTGCTGATCAGTCTATTAAAAATCTTGATCAAAACAATGATTTTAAGAGGAAACGTGATATGTTCTTATTCTTGACTCTATCAAACCTAGTTTAAACTTTAAATTCAGTTGCTAATTTTAGAGGGCCGATTGTTTCTAACGTTACTATTTATCTGGTAAATTCCTTTATTTCTTGCCACGACTAATCCACCTCCTGTTAACGTCTCTTTGTCTGTGTCTAGTCTCATAATTCGGTATTGAGGGCAAGCCATCTGCCTTTCCTCAGTTTTTTTAATTAATGATGTTGGGGGGGGGGGATTTTTTATTGTTTTACCTTTTAAACGTAAAAACCCGCATAATTTGTTCTGAAGATCAGATCCAGGTAGCCTCAATGAATTATTACAATGCATGTATTGCAGTAGCTGGAGATAAGGGAAGTAACTATGGACAGACAAAATTATATTTTCTTTGCCTCAGTAGTTATTCTTGCATTGAGTCCTCTTGTATCCGCAACACAAAAATATTTCAATGCAATACCTGTTATTATTATAATGATATGACTTTCTGTACTGCAGTCAGCTATCAACTCAGCCCTCTCCTGAAACATCCCAATATCCCCACGAGCACCAAGGCGAAGCTCATCAATGCCATTTTCCTTCCAACACTCACATATCAGTGCCAGACATGGTCTCTAACAAAAGCCCTAGATTGGAAACTGGTCACATGCGAGATGAAATGCTTAAGAAGAGCGGTCAACAAAACAAGAAGAGACAAAATTAAAAATGAAGTCATAAGAGACACCGTAAGAGCAACACCAGTCCTACCACACATTGAAAAACAAAAGGTCATGTGATTCGTACACCTCACGCGGATGCCCTCAAACCATCCGGCTCTGAGAGCATACAACATTAAATATTCTGGATGGGGAGCCAGAGGAAGACCAAGGCGACGATGGAGTGAATCTGTGGCAGACACCCTCAGAGCTCACGGGATGTCCCTCCTACAGGCCACTCGCCTTGCTGCAGACAGACGCATGTGTCTCCCCGGGGCACCCCCCCCCCCCCCCCCCCCCGGTACAAGCGGAAGAAAAAAGTAAAGTAAGTAAGTAAAGTAATACTCATAATAATACTCATACCTCTTTTGGCGTTTACTGAATCTCTGCAAACAGTGAATTTTCCTTAGGTCATTTCCATAGGTCTGTTTCAAAACAAAAATAATAATCAGATGTGATACAGGCACGGAAGCAACCATGAGAAAAGCTTCTAACTTCTAATGTTTCTACCACCAAGAAGTATTTACTTTGGTAGCCTTTGATATGACTGATCTCCATCTGAGGAGCAAGGAATATCAAATCACACAACAGGAACCGAGCTCTGGACCTCGGCACTCTACACCAAAAGAAATGGCCTACAGAATCCCACAAAAGAAGTGTTCTTTCAGGGAAGAGGAGGGCAATTCTTGGCAATGTAAAAACCAAAGGTAATTTACCGAAATAACGTATGTCCTGCTTTGTTACAAATTGTCTGTTATAATATAGAAGAAAAATTACCCACTGGGATAGGTTTGAGTCATTTCTATAGCAGCGCACTTGGTTCCAGGTTTGTCTTGGAAGAAAGAAAAAGTACCGCACAAGTGGCCCTAGAAAGAGATCAGAAGAAAGTCCTCACGACCTTAAACTCGCGTGTGCAAGCTATGGGTCCAATAATTAAATCTAATGAATCGTTCCGTATACTCGTATGACAGTCAAGATTTTAAAGCTAGAGACGTGCTGGCTGTTTGGAGTTACTATAAGACTATGGGATCAGAAATCAAATGCTCTGTCTGCTCTATCAAAATCGTAAGATTATTCAGAGTCGTTATCAAGATATTCAAAGAAATGCTTTCGAAAATGGTTGACATAATATTGTGAAACTAAAAAAATTGTGTACGTCAAACTTCTCAAAACTAGGTACTGAGTAGATAGAACTTCGTAGTTCGAAGGTAGCGAAAAGCATCGAACACTGTTCTCATAGACCGCACAATAATATGGTCAAAATTATAAGGCGAAACAAAGTACATGCTTGATGGAAGATTAGAGGTGTGACTTCGTTGCAGCACCCACCCGAAAACTAGGCTCCGAGGAAAACATGCTTTGAAGAGTCAAAATTCCGACCGGAATCGAATTCAAAGACAGAACCTCCACCTTGCGGCCAAAACATGCGTCCACAATATTATAGCTGGTCATCTAACTTAACGCTCTCAGTGTGAAAATTCTCCTAGGAAACGTTGTGGTTTGCGTTTCTCTTACACGTTTCGTGCACATTATTGCCGGGAGAGATAGATGAACCGAACACTGTTTCGGCAATGAATTGTGAAAAAATTGTAAAAGACCAAACCTGCCACGAAGCAACAATAAAAGAGCACTATGAATTCCAATGATCTAATTGCGTGTGTGGGATTTTTTTTTTATAACTTGGACACGATCAAAGATTGGGTGAGTCTTTGATATGATATAATATTATGGTTTCGCCGGAGAGGAGTTCATAATCCAAATCCATGGAAAAAGTTCTGCGCCAAGTCCAGTCAAATGTGTCCGCTAGTAACGTAGCAATTCAAATAAAGTTTTCCATTTCTTTGGGGTTGGGGTCTTTTTTTCAAATTGTTTTTATCTGGATTTGATTTGTTGACTTTCTTGATTGCTTTTTCTATTTGCTCGTTGTTGTTGTTGTTTTGTTCTGTTGTTTGTTTGTTTTTGTGTGGGGGTGGAATTTTGTTGTTTTTTGTTTGTTTGTTTGTTTTGGGGAAGGGGGGGGTGTTTTGGGGGGGGTGTTTGTTTTTGTATGAATTTTTTTGGGGTGGGTCGTTTTTCAGGGTGGTGGGGTAAGCGCACCTGGGAGGTTGGGAATGGGGGGGGGGGGGATGTCTCTCCCTACCATTGTAACAATGTCGCTATGTCATCAGAGTTGTTTACGGCAATGATGTAAAGTGTAGCAGCCGGGAGAGTAGCTAATTGTGTCCCTTTTGTTGTTGCGCTTGTTGTTTGTTGCTGATGTCGTTGTAGATTAAGAAAACCTGCTAGCTGTTGTCCGATCTCTCTTTCCATGAAGTGGAATTTTTACTAGGAGAGATGGCTGTCCGTTCACTGAACCCTCTCCACTTGCTTTAAGAGCTTCGGTCAGAGAAGAGTCTCACTGAAGAGAACTCAAAGCAGTATTTTCATTTTGAGACTGTCAGGAACCGCTACTCATCACATTGTGGTCAAAAACTGTCTCCAGTGATAACAGAATAACCAGCTTTCGCAGAGATAGACATTTTCGTCACAACGGAAGTTGTTTTCTTTACGTGCCTTTTGTCTCCAATAACAGGCCAAATGAAAACTTTCGCCTTCCAAAAACAATTATTCCAGAGTAGTAGTAGTAGTAGTAGTAGTAGTAGTAGTAGTAGTAGTAGTAGTAGTAGTTGTTGTTATTGTTGTTGTTGCTGTTGTTGTTGTTGTCGTTGTTGTTGTCGTTGTTGTTTTGATGTTTTGTTGTAGTTGTTGTCGTTATTGTTGCTGTTGCTGTTGTTGCTGCTGCTGTTGTTGTTGTTTTGTTGTTGTTGTAACTGAGTTTTTGTGGAGAGTTCATGACAATGTTTACAATGCTATAGAGGTTTATTTTGATACCTTGTTTTTGTTTGGAAAGAAATGTTCTTTATTTTTTAGATCAAATAATTAGTAGGCCATCATTTTCAGAAGTAAAGCAAGGAACATAAAAAGACTTGGACAAGGTTGTCCGTATCATTACATGGCATTTAAAATAGCCCCCCCCCCCCCCCCCCCCCCCCATCCCCACACCGTCTCCTTTTGTTTTTATTTTGTTGAAAAGAAAAGGGTCTTAATTCTTTTAATGCATCACATTTACGGATAAGGCTTCAATAACACTCAAACAAAAACATTATAAAGAGCCAGACTAAAGATGTCACTGCATCAGTCTGGGCCTGCTCTAGACAGGGAAGTGTCCACTCAGCTGCTTACATCCCTTATTTTGTGAGAGTGGTGGTCTTATCCTGACTGTACGTACATATACAAGTAAAGCAAATGTACGTGTAAGACTGCAAGTATCCGCATGTGAGTTTGCTTAAACTCGTGTAAAAAGAGAACAACAGCAAAACGGGGTAATGACAGGAATGAAGTAGGAGAAATGCTTATGAGTGAGAGGAAAGAAATGGACCTCGGCCCAGCGTAGTCAGTAATGTCACTATTTAAAAAGACGCTTTCTTCTCCCCTGCTCTTAAGAGCAGAAGACGAAGGGATAAGAAAGGTAGGTCCGGACAGCTACAATGAGCCGTGTGATTAGCACATTAGGGCCGCTGCTTCAGAGCCTCTACAGAAGACATATTTCACCTTGTTTCCTCTGCCGCCCGAGAAATCAGTTCTTTTGGATGCTCCTTGAAGTTCCCATCAGCAGAGAAGGAGCTGGGCACGGTAAACAGATTAAGTCTATTGCTTATGCAAACCAGCCTTTCACTGCTGCTACGTTTTCTACATTTCGTTGGAGAAACGCTGGCTTCTTAATAGAGTTTGAAAACTAATTCTTGTACTGGCGACGGAGCTCATAACAGATGAAAAGGAACCATACGTAAAGAGAGCATAACAGTGTTATAAAATCACTCTTACCCTTGTGAGCTAAAGGCACACAGAAGATCCGATTCTGAGCTTCGCAGTCGGTGATGTTTTTATGAGATGTATTAACTCGAGTAGGGGGAAAATAAGCTCAAGGGAAAAACTACACACATGTGTTTTTGCAATAGCTATCAAACTCTAAACGAATATCGAGGGAACCCGGTTCGACAAGCTTCTCCCTGTGCTGGGGCTGATTGTTGGCTAAATTAGCTCTAAACGAGACAGTTGAAATTAGTTGTGATGGATGGTCG